TTTTATATCAAAATTAAATTTTTATTTATCATATTTCATAAAACTTTAAGTTTAAAGAAAATCTTTTTTGAGAGTTATACGTAATTTTTTAATTAATTATTACTTTAAAAAATAAATATAAAGTTTAGAAAACAGATAAAAAATTCAGTTTATGCGCATTAATTACTCTTTAAAATATTAATATTTTAAATACTGATTTTTTATAATTTGGATATATCTTTATTTTACAGATCAAGAACATGTACAACTCCGCTGCTGCGCATCGTATCGGTGAGTGAGAAATCTTTTAATTAAATGTTATTGTTTTAAATTGTCAAAAGTTAATCGAGTCAAAAATAAATAGGCATAAGCAAAAGATTAGATGTTAATATTGTAACATTGAAACATAAATTAAATGATCTTTCTAAATAAAAATAATGAAGTCAAATCAGCATACTCATGTCGGATACAAAAAAGCAAAAGAAGAAAGTTCCAATTATATTATCACAAGTTATCAAGCCAAGTATTAAGTTTTTAGAAACAAGTTCAATCAATAATTTCGACAGCTTTAAATTATATCCTGCGTACAATTTGTCACTCTCTCCTTGATAACTCCTCTTTCGAATAATTCGCAAAGTTCTGGTGTTAAGTGGCGCCGATGGTCAACGTCTGGGCGGCGCGACTGACGGCCGAATAAAGGGCAAATAAATTAAGTTAATGTGTGCGCTTCGCACTCGGCCAAGTAAGCGCAATCTCCCTGTCGGCCGCTCGCATTAACGGGTCGGAGATCCTCCCTCCTCCGCTATCGCGCCATTGTTCGATGGAATTTGTAATTTAGATTGATACCGGGTTGCCCCGATTCTCTCGTCCGCGAGCGACGCTTTCGAGAAATCGTCTCGTCGCAAAATGTGCCGTCAGTGCCGCGAATAATTCGTCGCAAAATTTATGACACTGCGCGACAATACGCGATGGCGAAACGTTTCGGAGAATGCGTTCCAATAAAGTCAACGAGCTCTTGCAATAGACAAACAACTGATACGCACGTCAGATAAAATCGGATCCAGCACGTGATAAGACGCATGAAAATGTATCGTGGAATGAGAAATAAGTGAATCGAAAAAAAAGAAAATTTTTACATTTATCCAAAATATAATATCTTATTCTTAGCAAACTAATTTTTTTCTCGCAATAATTGATCCGCATTAAAAATTTGGATATTTGTATATTTCTTTCCGTTGCTCTTCTAGATTTGATTTTAAAATGAATACAAAAATTATGAAAAGGCTACTTTTAACATAACAATATTTTTTCGCTTCGCGATAAAATATTTAATTCACTGGACGCTTTCTCAATAAAAGCTACAATAAAAGTTATAAAAAACTACAATAAAAATTATAGAAAACAGGCTATGAGGGGAGGATTGATATGAAAAATTAATTTTATGAAATTAAATCCGAAACAGACATAACGTGTATATATACGGAAAGAAATATACAAATTCAAAATTTTTCGAT